AGCAAAGTGGAAGCAATAGTATGTTTTAAAATTTTCTTGCCAAAATATTGGTTTGAAAATTAATCCAAACCATTTTTTAACGAAACTCACCTGAGCAGGAGCAACAGCGTCAGAGCTTATCTTGTTATTCTCCTCATTGACACTAATTACTAAGGAAGCTTCATTAGAAAGATCTTGTGGGGGAACCATTTCTGGAGTCATGGTGAGAAAATCAAACCTTGTTTTTCGAGAATCAGAAGCAACGTACAGATTGTAGGAATAAGGCAAAGTCCCCTCATTGTAGTTGAGAGAACCACTTGGTCTAGTCTTAGAACAGAGAGCGGGCTGGAAGCAGCCCCAGGCGGCGGGGCTGGACGAGTGTCGCAGGCGCAGGCCGATGGCCAGGATCACCGCCAGCAGGAAGAGCACAGAGATGGCCGCCAAGGCCACCACCAGGTAGAACTGCAGCTCGGCCTGAGGGTCAGAGAGCACCGGACGATCCGTGAGGTCGGGCAGCGCCTCTTGCAAGCTATCCGCAAACACCAAGAGCAGGGTGGCGGTGGCCGAGAGCGGCGGCTGGCCGCCATCGCGCACCGCGACCAGCAGGCGCTGGCGCGCCGCGTCCCTGTCGCCCAAGGCGCGCGCCGTGCGCACCTCGCCCGTGCGCAGCCCCAGGCTGAAGAGCCCGGGCTCGCTGGCCTGCAGCACGTGGTAGGACAGCCAGGCGTTGTGCCCAGAGTCGGCGTCCACCGCCACCACCTTGGTGACCAGGTAGCCGGGCTCGGCGGCGCGCGGCACCGTGTCGAAGAGCGCCGAGCCGTCGGGCCCCAGCGCCGGGTACAGCACCCGCGGCGCGTTGTCGTTGCGGTCGCCCACCAGCACGCGCAGGCTCACGTTGGCGCGCAGTGCGGGCGAGCCCTGGTCGCGGGCCTGCAGCGTCAGCTCCAGGGCGCGCAGCTGCTCGTGGTCGAAGGCGCGCTGCGCGAACACCACGCCGCTGTGCGCGCTCACCGACACGTAGGACGACAGCGCGCGCGGCTCCAGGTCGCTGGCCACGATGGAGTAGGACACCTGGCCGTTGGGGCCCACGTCGGGGTCGGAGGCGCTGACCTGCGCGATGGAGGCTCCCGGGGGGTTGTTCTCGGGCACGTGGACCACGTAGGCGGCCTGGTGGAAAACCGGAGCGTTGTCGTTGACGTCTCCGATGCGCAGGGTGACGGTGGAGCTGGAGGAGAGGGGCGGTTGGCCCCCGTCGGTGGCGATGATGGTGACGTTGTACTCCGAGGTCTGCTCCCGGTCCAGGGTGCCATCTGTTACTAACTTGTAGTAATTACTGGCAGAAGATTCGATTCGAAAAGGAACTTTTTCTTTTATGAAGCATGTGACCTGTCCGTTTTCTCCAGAATCTTTATCATGTGTTTTGAAGAGAGCGATCACTGTCCCTGGTTTTGCGTCCTCTGTTATGGAATTCGACACAGAAGTAAAAACCACGTCTGGGGCATTGTCGTTCTCGTCTAGAATTTCTAGTATAATTTTACATTCTGCGGCCATGCCGCCACCGTCCATGGCTTCCACACTCAGGGTATAACTGCTGCTGACTTCAAAGTCGATGGAGTCTTTGGACTGAACTTCTCCAGTGTGCTGGTCTATCATAAACATGTTTCCAACATCATCCCGCAGGGTTTTGAAGGCGTAAATGATCTCCGCATTGATGCCCTCGTCCCGGTCGGTGGCTGTCACCTTTACCACAGAGGTGCCTCTGGGCACATTTTCCCTAAGGCTGACTTTGTACACATCCTGGCTGAATACCGGGGCGTTATCATTGGCATCAGTGACCTTGATATGAATTTGAGCTGTGCCAGATAGGACCGGATCGCCCCCATCCACCGCTGTCAGCACCAGGAGAAGAGAGCTCTGCTGTTCTCTATCCAGGGGCTTCTCCAACACCAATTCTGGAGCGTTCTTCCCTTCAGCCTTGCCCTTCACCGTCAGAGAGAAGTGCTTATTGGAGCTGAGTTGGTAACTCTGGAGGGAGTGAGACCCTACGTCTGCATCTATAGCAGATTCCAGGCCAAACCGAGTGCCTGGAATTGCAAGTTCATTGATTTGTAAAGCAATGCTATTTTGCGGGAAATGGGGCGGATTGTCATTTATATCTTCTATCACCACATTTATGTGAAAAACATTTAGAGGATTTTCTGCTACAATTTCCAGGGGCACGACACACAGAGGTTTTTGGGAGCAGAGCGACTCCCGATCTATTCTGTCACTCACAAGCAGGTTCCCATTCTCCACGCTCACGGTAAAGTATTCTTTGTCTGCACTAACTCTGAGGTTGCGGGTCACTAAATCCGGAACCTGCAGCCCCAGGTCCTGAGCCAGGTTCCCCACCACCGAGCCCCTCGGCATTTCTTCCGGAATAGAATATCGGGTCTGCTCTGAGAGAGCCCCGCAGAACAAAGGCAGCAGGAAGGGAAAGAGTACTTGCCGCCGCCGCCGAGTCCGGCTCCTCTCCTTCACCCTACTCCCCATCGTCACTGCAGCCTCGGATGCTCAGAGGAGACGCTTCACCGGGTAGAAAATCCACTTCTCCCAATTTAAGGGTATCTCAACCCCTACAAAATCAGATTTGCCAAGCAGAAAACCCGAAACCCGGCGACTATCCTTTCTAACTTGCTTCTGTGACTGCGCAGTTTCACCCGGGTGGATCGCGGGCTCCAGCTCTTGCAGCACATTGGTCAACAGCGGCGCTCGGAGTCTATTTAGAAAACTGCAGTCAGAAGGCTTTGCAAATTCAATGGGATTTGGTTTTCCTATAGATATACTAGACTGATGTATGGAGAACTAGGCAGTTCACTAGTGTTGAGTGTGTCTGTTTCCCAGTGTTTACCACCAAGGAAGGCTCCTTAGACATGGGATCCTATAGAAGAGCCATTAGCCCAGTAATGAGAGGTTAAAGCTAGTCTTTTTCTAATCAGAGGCAATGCACTTATTGGAAGAAGCAGTCACTCTTCTCTCCAGATATAGGACAAAGATCACGTGGGAAAAGAGCCCCACCAAGTGGTAGGGGGAAATTTTGATAGATATGAAATGACATCCAGGATTGTCTTCAATCAGATGAGCAGATACTTTTCCTTTTTTCAAAGCTACCTAAGTCATACTCAGAACAAAGATGGCCAGTGCCATAAAATATTCCTTATTGCTTAAAATAGAGATCTATGAAGAGCATTAATTGTTTTATACTTTCATCATAAATATAAAGGTATAACTTAGTAGGTTTCTGTAGGAATTTAATGACAGGAAATGTGAGAGCATTCTATTTTTATCCTCTTATTTAATTGGACTATAAGTCATAACAGTACTTTAGCACTACCTTGAGTAACCCTATAAATATCAAGTTTCAAATTCAACCTTCCTTTTTTGTCCTCCACTACTTTTTTTGCCTCCTAACTAGTTCAGTATAGTTTAGTGCTTAAAAATATGGAACAACCTCTGTCTCACAGTCAAACCCCTCATATGCTTTTTTAAAATCTAATTCCAGTTCAAGTATACAATGCCTTAACTATTTTTTTCTTAGTTTGGAAATGTCATAAGCATGATTCCTATTGCTAGATGCTCAAAACATGCTAATATTTTCTTTTCTTCGAGACAAATTTAGGTAGCTATTGAAAGAATTCTCTTTCCTACAGATGAAATTCTTCTTGCCCAAGTCCTAGATACTCAATATGCAGTTAATTATACCAAGGTCAATTCTTACATAAGAAACATAAACTTGAAATTGAATGTGAATGTGTAAGCAACCTGGGCCAAATATCTAGAAGTGATGAGAGTGCTGAGCTGGACTGATGGGGAAAATTATTCTTGTGATCAAATACCCTAGATAAGTCCCATTTACTCACCTGTGTTCCTAGGCTTTATGTCATGAATGTCATTAGGTAGCCACCAAGCCTTTGATAACAAGTAGGCTTTGAACACAGTAATTGAGTATACTTCTATGTACTACAAAGTGAGTCTATGATGAAATGAAGGAGGAATCGATGACTCCTAGGTATACTGAAAATCAACAGAAAGTATCCAGAGGAATACCAGTGAAATCAGTCTCAGTGCCTACCTCCATTGTTTATACCTTAGCTATGCTGTATAAATCTGAAAAGCACAGGATCTTCAGCAGATTTTAAAATAATTTTTTGAGAAGCACTGGATCAAAATTGTTAATTCTGTATGTGCATTTACTATATTAAAAAGCTTTCTGCATAGACACTAATGTAAAAGAATAAAAGTAAATAACACCAGTTCAATAATCCAATTACTTCTTCTTCAGAATACTGGTATCACTATATAATAGAAAAGATATCTGGAACTTAAGGAAAAAATTTGACCTACATTCCTCTCACCCAAAATGTCCTGTAATTAAATGCTAAAAAGTACATCTCTTTGGATCAAGACGAAGCAATGAGATAATGTTGAAATAGTCAGCAGTATCTAAACACATTACCAGCCATTAAGAATCAAGATAGAACTATTTCATGCTCAGAAAAAAAGCTTACACAGTGTGTGTGTGTGTAGATAAACTAACGAGAATGAAAGTTAATGAATCAATAAGATCGCATTTGGGCATTAGAAGTATTAGAAAACAATGGTAGAATATACCTGCAAACCAGCATAGGCAACAAGAAATCGAAATAGGAAATAGGTGAAATCCTTTGTTAATCATTGATTTGAGTCATATTCAGTTTATATGGAGAGCCACAGACACTGATGATAGAAAAATAATACTACAATTCAACTTACTACAAAGTAGGCCAACTGGTCACTTGAAACAAAATATACCGGGACTTTTAAAATGACTTTCACAAGAAATTCCTGCAGAATGATGGGAATCTGATGAAAGGTAAAGTACACAGCATGTGCCACTCTAAATATGTATGAAATAAGGATGCCCCCAAAAACACGGCGAGAAAAAAAGTCCTCTAAAAGATTTGTGCCAAGACACCAACAATCAGAAGACCAATAGAACTCACCTGATTATTTATCGGATCACATTTGCCTAAAATAGTAGCTGAGTCTTCACCTATTAAGAGTGGCTCGCTTTTCCCACAGCTCCCCTGGCTGAGGAGCGTGTCCGCATAGTTGGGCTGCGGGAAGATAATATGGCTCTTCCTTGAATCTGCAGTAAGGGAGACCTCGTGGGAATAGGTCTGCAGGAAGGCACGCACCCCGTCCACGCCCACAAAGTGCGAGGCCGGCACGCCCGCCAGCCCGCCACAGCCCGACGCCCGCAGCAGGCGAGAGCTGTGCCAGCGCCGCAGCCTGAGTGCCAGCAGCACGATGACGAAGGCCAGGAAGACGCAGGACACCGCGGCCACCGCCACCACCAGGTACAGCGTGAGGTCCGACTCGTCCGCACTGGCGGAAGGCTTGAGGCTGCCCAGGTCCGCCAGCACGTCGGGGATGCTGTCGGCCACGGCCACGGTGAGCGTGACGGTGGCCGAGAGCGGGGGCTGGCCGTGGTCCTGGACGGCCACCACGAGGCTCTGCTTGAGCGCGTCTCTGTCCAGCAGGCCGCGCGCCGTGCGCACCTCGCCCGTGTGCAGCCCCACGGCGAACAGCCCCGGCTCGCTGGCCTTGAGCAGGCGGTAGGACAGCCAGGCGTTCTGGCCCGAGTCTCTGTCCACTGCCACCACCTTGGTGACCAGGTATCCGGGCTCTGCGGCACGGGGCGCCAGCTCCACGCCTGTGGAGCCATCGGTGGGGAGGTTGGGATACAGGATCTCGGGGGCGTTGTCGTTCTGGTCCACCACGAACAGGGTCAGTGACACATTGCTGCTGAGTGGTGGGTCCCCGCTGTCGCTGGCTGTCACCCACAGCTGCAGGTCTCGAAACTGCTCGTAGTCAAAAGACCGAAGTGCATACAGGACACCAGTGTCCGAGTTGATGGAGATGTAGGAGGATAGAGGTGCCCCTTGGATGGTATCTTCCATCAGAGAGTAGGTGACCTGTGCATTCTCTTGGCTGTCTGGGTCAAGGGCAGTCACCGAGAAAACAGAGGCTCCTCTGGGGTTGTTTTCAGGAATGTAAGCGTAGTAGGAGGAGTGAGAGAAAGCTGGAGGGTTATCATTGTCGTCTGCAACGTTCAGCGTGATGTAAGTTTCTGTAGACAAGGGTGGAATCCCCTGGTCCCTGGCTGTCAATGTTATATTGAAGCTCTGGACCTGCTCCCTGTCCAGTGGTCTGTTTGTTACCAACTTGTAATAATTTCCATAAGTCTTTTCTAATTTAAAAGGCAGATTGTTAGGAATGAAACAGGAGACCTGTCCATTTTCTCCAGAATCTTGGTCTTGCACGTTTAAAAGAGCAACGACTGTACCTGGAGGCGAATTTTCCAGCATGGAGTGAGTAGCAGAGGTGATGGTTATCTCTGGAGCATTATCATTCACATCCACAAGGGTGACCACCACCTTTGCTGTGGTCAGAAGACCTCCACCATCTTGGCCTTGAACTTCCATCTCAAAGGATCTATACTTTTCAAAATCCAGGGACCCCCGTACTAGAACCTCTCCAGTCTGAGGATTCAACTGGAATATTCCGGAAGCTTTGCTTTCCACATTCCCGAATGAATACATCACTTGCCCATTGGCTCCCTCATCTGGATCTGTTGCGTTTACCACGAGCACCCGAGTTCCCGAGCTGAGGTTTTCGGGAACGCTCACTCGGTACACAGACTGGGTGAACTTTGGGATGTGGTCATTTACGTCGAGGACCACCACACGAATGGGAATCGTGCCCTTGCGCACGGGCTCCCCTCCATCGAAGGCTGTGAGGAGCAGCAGGTGCGCAGCCTCCCTCTCCCGGTCCAGGCCTCCCTCCAGCACTAGCTCCGGATTCTTGGCCCCATTTGTTTCGCCGCCTCGCACTTGCAAAGTAAAGTAGCTGTTAGGGCTGAGCTGGTAGCTCTGGAGGGAGTTCGCGCCCACGTCCGGATCCCTGGCGCTGGGAAGGGGGAACCGCGATCCAGGGGCTGCGTGCTCGCTAACTTTTATCTCTACTTCCTCTTCCCGGAAGCTGGGGGCGTTATCGTTAATATCCAGTATTTCCACCTCCACTCCGTAAATCTTCAAGGTGTCTTCCACAAGAATCTCTATATTTAAAAAACAGGAGGACACCATCTCACAGAGCTCCTCCCGGTCTATCCTGCCCGCCGTGACCAAGCCGCCGCCTCGCGGACTCAGCGCGAACAGCTGCGCCCTACCTCGGGACACGATGCGGACTCCGCGCTGCGCCAGCTCCCCGGGCTCCAGACCCAGGTCCTTGGAGACGTTGCCCACCAAGAAGCCCTTGTCCGTCTCTTCTGGCACCGAGTATCGGATCTGCCCGGCCCCGGACTGCTGCAGCGTCCCCAGGAAGATGCACAGCAGGGCCAGCCCGCTGCGGTTCAGGCGCTGTGGCCGATTCGCCATGGCAGGGTCGGAGGCGGTATTCCGCTGTTTCTTGAGCCGGTTTGTTCTGAACCAGCTTTTGTTTCTGCGAGATCTCAGGCCGTCCACATCCAAAATATGTTAGAAAACGAAGCAAAGTACTCTCAAGTGTCCGGCGTCAGGATCTGTGAGTATCCATCTCGTTCGGCTTTGTGCCGGCGCGGTGGGGAAGGGAGGGGCTCCATGCGCGCGCCTTCCCTTCCCCGACTGGTGAACAGCGGCGCCTAGAGCCCACTCTTATTATTGCAACGACTAAGAAAAAACCAATGTGCTGGTTCCGATAGAAATGATTACCCACCTTTTCGTGAATCGCAGCTATTTGCAAAGCTTAAAACTGCAAACAATAGTTACATAGGGTGATGCCAAAAGTCTATTAAGGGCTCTATGGAAGGACTATTTATTAAAAAGGTCTGCTTAGTTTAAAAAAAGCTTTCAAAATACGAGTGGACTGAAAACTTTCAGATTAGATTTGGTTCTAAGTGACTTTTAACTGACGGCGAGTGTAGCATTTGCAGATGTGAAAATAGCACAATTCCAACGACATCATCAGGTAGGACGCATGGCAAATTATCTTACCAGTGTTTTCTGAGTGAAATAAGCCGTTTAAGAAAAACTGAACAGCATAGAGTTGCCATCTAGGATGTCAGGACATAACCTTCCAAATCCTTAACCAACAAGTGTTTCGCCCGCGATTTCCCATGCATTTTTTTTAAACCTTAAAATGCCTTTGCATTGTACAAGGATTGAAGCATTGTAACCTTTTAACGACGCCTATAGTTTTGATCTACACTTGTTTTAAAATCTTTACAACAAAGTGATCTAAAGTCTTGAAATAGCAGTGCTATATGGGAATACACTGGCATACTGGAATATAGGAGGCATTATTTTAAATACGTACCTTTTCAGTCTTCTCATCTGTTTCAACGCTAGGAGCTAAAATGCTTGCCAATAGCATAGAAGAGCTTTCTTTGTTGAGAATATCTTGTGTGGCTGCACAGTGATCAACAGAGGCGAGAAAGTTAAATTCTGGCTGACTTTGAGCCCCAGATACGCAAAAATTATAGGCATAGGGCAATGTGCCCTCACTGTAGATGGGGGGAATCACGGGTCCAGACTTTGAGCACAGAACAGACCCAAAGCAGCCTCCCGCTGCCGGGCTGGAGGAGTGTCGCAGGCGCAGGCCGATGGCCAGGATCACCGCCAGCAGGAAGAGCACAGAGATGGCCGCCAAGGCCACCACCAGGTAGAACTGCAGCTCGGCCTGAGGGTCAGAGAGCACCGGACGATCCGTGAGGTCGGGCAGCGCCTCTTGCAAGCTATCCGCAAACACCAAGAGCAGGGTGGCGGTGGCCGAGAGCGGCGGCTGGCCGCCATCGCGCACCGCGACCAGCAGGCGCTGGCGCGCCGCGTCCCTGTCGCCCAAGGCGCGCGCCGTGCGCACCTCGCCCGTGCGCAGCCCCAGGCTGAAGAGCCCGGGCTCGCTGGCCTGCAGCACGTGGTAGGACAGCCAGGCGTTGTGCCCAGAGTCGGCGTCCACCGCCACCACCTTGGTGACCAGGTAGCCGGGCTCGGCGGCGCGCGGCACCGTGTCGAAGAGCGCCGAGCCGTCGGGCCCCAGCGCCGGGTACAGCACCCGCGGCGCGTTGTCGTTGCGGTCGCCCACCAGCACGCGCAGGCTCACGTTGGCGCGCAGCGCGGGCGAGCCCTGGTCGCGGGCCTGCAGCGTCAGCTCCAGGGCGCGCAGCTGCTCGTGGTCGAAGGCGCGCTGCGCGAACACCACGCCGCTGTGCGCGCTCACCGACACGTAGGACGACAGCGCGCGCGGCTCCAGGTCGCTGGCCACGATGGAGTAGGACACCTGGCCGTTGGGGCCCACGTCGGGGTCGGAGGCGCTGACCTGCGCGATGGAGGCTCCCGGGGGGTTGTTCTCGGGCACGTGGACCACGTAGGCGGCCTGGTGGAAAACCGGAGCGTTGTCGTTGACATCTCCGATGCGCAGGGTGACGGTGGAGCTGGAGGAGAGGGGCGGCTGGCCCCCGTCGGTGGCCTTGATGGTGACGTTGAACTCCGGGGTCTGCTCCCGGTCCAAGGTGCCATCTGTTACTAACTTGTAGTAATTATTGGAAGAAGAATGAATCTTAAATGGAACGTCTCTACTTAAACTACACGTGACTTTTCCATTTTCCCCAGAATCCGGGTCCCGTGTTTTGAAGAGGGCCACAACCATTCCTGGGGCCGAATTCTCCAAAATCTGGTCCGAGAGGGAAGTGATGGTGATTTCCGGGCTGTTGTCATTTATGTCTAGAATGTCTACTATGACTTTACACTGTGTGGAGAGCGAGCCGCGGTCCTTTGCCTCCACATCCATTGTGTATCTTTTTACTTCTTCAAAATCCAAAGGCTTGTGAGTTACAATGTTTCCTGTCGTGGACTCCAGAGAGAACACGTGCTGGGTCTTGTCAGAGGCCGCGAGGAAGGAGTAGGTGACCTCCGCATTGACGCCCTCATCCTGGTCCGTGGCCCTCACCCTCAGAACGGTGGTGCCAGGCGGCGCATCCTCCCGGAGGCTGACCCTGTAGACGTCCTGGCTGAACACGGGGGGGTTATCGTTGGCATCCACCACCAGGATTTGGATCTGCGCAGTACCGCTTCTGGCCGGATTCCCGCCGTCCAGTGCCGTCAGCACCAGGTGGTGAGTGCCCTGCGTTTCTCGGTCCAGGGGCTTCTGCAGCACCAGTTCCGGGGATTTGTCATCATCAGGATTATCTTTCACCACCAACGAGAAATACTCGTTCGGACTTAGTTGGTATTTGCTCAGTGAATTCACACCAATATCGGGGTCTTTTGCAGACTCAAGCACTGTTCTCATGCCCGGGCTGACGGATTCGCTTATTTCTAAGTTTATTTCATCTTTACGGAATTGAGGCGCGTGGTCATTAATATCCTCAATCACGACAACGACATGGAACACATTCAAAGGGTTTTCCACCACGGCTTCCAGCTGCAGCTCGCACTGCTTCCGCTCTTTGCAAATCTGCTCGCGATCTATTCGGTCCCTCACTAGCAGGCGCCCGGTGCGCGCGTCTACGTGGAAGTGCAGCCTCTCGGCGCTGACCCGCAGCTTCCGAGCAGACACATCCAGCACGCTGAGCTCCAGGTCCTTAGCCAGGTCGCCCACTACCGAGCCCGCGGCCAGCTCCTCGGGGATGGAGTAGCGGATCGGCTCGCAGAGCGCGGGGCAGAACAAAGGCAGCAGGAAGGCAAACGGTACCTGCGGGCGACCGACCCGGCGCCTGTGCGCGCAGCTCCCTCCCATGGCTCGCGCTACTGCTCGCTCGGTCCGCGTCCTTCCAGTGGCAAGAGGTGCATTCGGCCCGGGAAGGGCAGAGTCCCCGTCGTCCCCGGGGTGGGGATCCTTGTATGCCGGGCAGGGTGTGAGCCGCCGGGAGCTTCTGCGGGCGGAGTGTTTCCTTGTGTCTGCACTGGTGGCTGTGCAGGAAAACCCAGGCTGGAGGCTGAGGATCCCTGGCGTCAGCGCCTGCTCTGTACTGGCCGACAGCGGCGCCCAGAGGCCCCTTGTGGAACTGCACCTCTTTAAGGGGATCTCTTTTTCTTTAATTGATAGCCAAAATATTTGAATCTCACTCCGCACTGGTTCCGTTTTCATACCGAAATATATATTTGTGTGGTCATAACTATAATTTTTATATGTTAAAATTTACACTGACTTTGAATAGATGAAAATGTTTCTTTTGAAATTCAAAAGGGGACAAAAATATATATAGTGAAGAGTCTATACGTTTCCTATCCCATGACCTGCAGCTTTCCAAATGTTCCATCAAGAGGCTATCACTAGGGGCCGGCGCTGTGACGCAGTGGGCTAAAGCCCCAGCCTGCAGTGCCGGCATCTCATATGGACACCGGTTCGTTTCCCGGCTGCTCCTCTTCTGATCCAGCATGTCTGCTATGGCCTGGGAAAGCAGTAGAAGATGGCCCAAGTCTTTGGGCCCCTGCACCCGCGTGGGAGATCGGAAAAAGCTCCTGGCTTCGAATTAGCTCAGCTGTGATCGTTGTGGTCATTTGGGGAGTGAACCAGCAGACTGGAAGACCTTTCTCTTCTCTCTCTCTGTTTTTCAATAAATGAAAAATTTTTTTAAAAAAAGAAGCTATCACTGTTGCTCCCCCCCATAATTAGGATAATTATCCATGAAGCTGGAAGTAATGAAGATAAGTAAGACAGTCTGGTCTTCCTTTGTAGCCTATATTGCTTAGAAAGTAGTTATCCTTTCCTCCCTATCTACATACTGGAATACAGCCATTGCCATAGTCATAAACCATACAGAATTCCAGCACTGCGTTACATTTGAAAGCTTTTGCTTATAGTGCCTCTGATGTAAAAAGAGTAGGTCTTTCTTTTTTTCTTTCTTTCTTAAAAAGAACTTGCATTTTTCAAAATAGTCTTGTTTGAGATGGAGACACAGCAATTGGTGCTCATGGACAGAAACTGAATAGATTCCGTGATTTAGCAGTCAATAGTTATGGCCCGAAGACGCATGCTGCCCTTCCACAGACTTATGATTGAATAAATGCTGACTGACATGAATAAAGCCATGGTCTCAGAAGTATTTTGAGATGTTGTAGAACACTCTATATGTTCCAAGTTCAGTGGACATTTATGGTGCCTAGAGTATTTTTAATAAATTAAAAGAGGTCAAACTACATCCATCACTGCCTTCACTGACTGATGAACACATCCCTGCCTCCAGGGATCAGGTGTTTGAAGAGTTTGTGTTTGTTGCAGAAACAGCAGTTCTTGCTTGAATCGTCTGTTTTGACTGAGAGTTGCGAGTTCTTAGAGTTTCAGTAAGGTTTCCTTCCATGTCATTAGAGAGCCACTGAAATATACTTGCCACAGGGCCTTGCTCTTGTTCTTGTGGACCTGTACAAATATATCTCTCTCCCCAATTCATATTTATCTTCAGCCATAGTGATTGGCAAATTTAACAAAACTGACAAAGTGAAAAGAACCCAAAATTTCCTTACTTTAACTCTGTAGACTTTTTAGACTCCCTGTTGGGCAAGGTGAGTCGAATTAAAATGCTGTATCTATCAGCTATCAGTATGAAATTAGACAATACAGAAAGGATGCCACAGTGTCACTAGGTATGATTACAGTTGGAAAACCATAAGCATGCATTGCTGTGAATTGCTAACTGAATATCAGTGAAAATGTAGAAACACTCTAGGCAGTGTATTCAAGTTCAAGAACCACAACAAGGTAGAGTTTGAGAAATACCAGCATGACTACAAGTCCTATATATTGCCCATGTCCCCCAGAAGAACATGGAGTAACCATGGTTTGGGTTATGTTTCCAGAGAGGCTAATGCATTTGTTTATGACATCTATGTACTACTATAGACCTGCCTTCAAAACAAGAGCTAGGGTTGTTTAAGGGGCTAGGATTTCAGCATGTGGTCACCAGGAGAAGGTACACATTGACAAGCACTTCTGAATGGACCTCTCTTTTAGGGCTTGTTTGCACTCAGTAACACTACAAAATAGAAGTGTCTGCAAAGCTAATCGGAAGAGCCTTATGACAACAGGCCTTTATAGAGACAGTTCTACCAGAAAGTTTTTTTAAAGGTCAGCCTTAATCATCAAATTCTAATCTTCAATGTTTAAGCAAAAATGCAAATGTCACTGAAACCAAAGCCATAATAAAGATTAAAATTCACCATCACCGTGCTGCAAACCCAAAGATAAATCTAATCATCATGAACAGAAAAAGTAAAAGTGTAACTCACTGGAACCAAAGGAGCATCTTCTATAGGAAACTTTGAATCATCTAACAAAGACAGAGGATCCTTTTTCTCACAGCTCCCCTGGCTGAGGAGCGTGTCCGCGTAGTTGGGCTGCGGGAAGATCACGTGGCTGCTCCGCGAGTCTGCCGTGAGGGACACCTCGTGGGAATAGGTCTGCAGGAAGGCCCGCACCCCGTCCACGCCCACAAAGTGCGAGGCCGGCACGCCCGCCAGCCCGCCACAGCCCGACGCCCGCAGCAGGCGAGAGCTGTGCCAGCGCCGCAGCCTGAGCGCCAGCAGCACGATGACGAAGGCCAGGAAGACGCAGGACACCGCGGCCACCGCCACCACCAGGTACAGCGTGAGGTCCGACTCGTCCGCACTGGCGGAAGGCTTGAGGCTGCCCAGGTCCGCCAGCACGTCGGGGATGCTGTCGGCCACGGCCACGGTGAGCGTGACGGTGGCCGAGAGCGGGGGCTGGCCGTGGTCCTGGACGGCCACCACGAGGCTCTGCTTGAGCGCGTCTCTGTCCAGCAGGCCGCGCGCCGTGCGCACCTCGCCCGTGTGCAGCCCCACGGCGAACAGCCCCGGCTCGCTGGCCTTGAGCAGGCGGTAGGACAGCCAGGCGTTCTGGCCCGAGTCTCTGTCCACCGCCACCACCTTGGTCACCAGGTATCCGGGCTCTGCTGCGCGGGGCGCTAGCTCCACTCCTGTGGAGCCGTCGGTGGGGAGGGTGGGGTACAGGATCTCGGGGGCGTTGTCGTTCTGGTCCACCACGAACAGGGTCAGTGACACGTTGCTGCTGAGCGGTGGGTCCCCGCTGTCGCTGGCTGTCACCCACAGCTGCAGGTCTCGAAACTGCTCATAATCAAAGGAGCGCAGTGCATAGAGGACCCCAGTGTCGGAGTTGATGGAGATGTAGGAGGACAGTGGCGCCCCCTGGATGGTGTCCTCAGCGAGGGAGTAAGTAACTTGGGCATTCTCCTTACTGTCTGGGTCAAGGGCTGTCACGGAGAAGATGGAGGCACCCCTGGGGTTGTTTTCTGGGATGTAGGTAAAATAGGAGATGCGAGAGAAGCTGGGCGGGTTGTCATTGATATCTGCCACTTGCAGAGTCAAGTGAGTTTCCGTTGACAGAGGTGGACTTCCCCCGTCTGTGGCTGTTACTGTTATGTTGTAAGACGATATCTGTTCCCTGTCAAGGGCTCTGTGTGTCACCAACCGATAATAACTGTCGATGGACTTTTCTAACTTAAATGGTAGGTCCCCTGAGGTCGAACAGGTCACCTGTCCATTCTGCCCAGAGTCTACATCATGCACATTTAGAAGGGCGATGACAGTTCCGGGAGCTGAGTCTTCCCTCACTGGACTGAACAGGGACGTGATCGTCACCTCCGGGCTGTTGTCGTTGACATCTTCCACTGTAATTAGCACTTTTGCGGTTGCGAGATATGCGCCTCCATCTTCCGCTTGTACTTCTATCTCATAGAAGCCCGTTTCCTCATAATCTAGGGGTTCTGATGTTTTTATCTCCCCGGTTTGTTTGTTGAGTTGGAATTTCAACAACTGCGTGTCGGGTAATTTTCGGAATGAGTATGTTACTTCCCCATTGGCACCTTCGTCCTTGTCCGTGGCTGTGATGGTCAGCAGCTGAGTGCCTACAGGCAGATTCTCTGGAACACTCACTCGGTATTCAGACAAGGTGAAGACGGGCGCGTTGTCGTTTGCATCGAAGACAGTCACACTGATGAGGACAGTGCCAGACCGGAGAGGGTCACCCCCATCCGAGGCGGTGAGGACCAAGTGGTGGACGGCCTCTTCCTCTCGATCTAGGGCGCGCTCCAGGACCAGCTCCGGGTACTTGGCGCCATTGGCACGGCTCTGAACTCCTAGCGAGAAGTGCTTATTGGGGCTGAGCTGGTAGCTCTGTAGAGCGTTCACGCCCACATCCGGATCAACAGCTTCCGGGAGAGGAAAGCGCATTCCGGGAGCGACATTCTCATTAATTTTCACATCTAAAGTTTCTGCTTGGAATTTGGGGGCATTGTCGTTGATATCAATCACTTCTATTTCTATTCCGAAAAGTTTCACTCTATCCTCGACTAGGACATTAAAGCTCACCAGGCACGGCGCGCTCTGAGCGCAGAGCTCCTCCCGGTCTATCCTGCCCGCGGTGACCAAGCCGCCGCTGCGCGCGCTCAGAGCGAAAAGCTGCGCCCTACCTCGGGAGACGATGCGGACCCCGCGCTGCGCCAGCTCCCGCGGCTCCAGCCCCAGGTCCTTGGCGATGTTGCCCACGAACGAGCCTTTCTCCAGCTCCTCCGGAACGGAGTACCGGATCTGCCGAGCTCCGCACTCCCACGGCATCCACAGGAAAAGGCAGAGGAGGACCAGCTTGCCGCGTTCCGGGAGATTCCTTTGAGCGGCCATTGTTGCCTGGTGGCAGAATTCTCCCCAGGTCGCCCCTGGAAACCTTGTGTGTTTCAGCCGGTTCCTTTTCCTTTCGGTGGCTGCAGCGTCTCTGCAGCCTGGACGCCTTACATTCCCGGCGAGTTCCGCTGCAGCCCAGGAGCCGACTGTGGGAGCTGGGGGCTTTGTGCGGCTGGAGCCCTGAGAATCGGGTTCGCGCGCTGGCGGCCTTTCTCTCCTAGCGGGCGAACAGCGGCGCTCAGAGTCCTAAGCAGTTACTGCACCCACCGGCGTATATGTGCCACGGACACAAACGCTACTCTGTCCCTTTAGACCATTTTAATTTAGATTGTTTCTTTGATTTCCTCACTCATACGCCTAATTACTCATCATTTGTAGGTTTCTCATTGGGAGTGGGATAAAGTGGTATGAAAATAACATCAAATAGTAAGTGATAATATTTACTTAGGTGTATATTTGCAATGCATTTCCCCAAAAGAAATGTACCCACTATGAAAGGTAAATAATGAATATTTTATATCCTATGAGCTTTTAGCTAGTCACAAGTTTTACAATTCTATTTGAAACTGAGATTTAAATGTGGTCAATTGTGTTTAGTGTACACTTATATACAGATTATGTTACAAATACTTCTTATGTGATAATTCACCTTGAAGTCTTTAAATTTTAGATGTAATTAATATGTTTAGTTTGAAACTGTGTAAGAAGTTTTCAAAATATTTATTTTCAAATAGGTTCATTAAGCCTTAATGAAACTTTTTTGAAAAAATATACTTTTTTGCAATAGGTGTATCTTATCAGAAATTAAGTGGACCTCCTTAAATGAATTGAGCAGGTCAACACAAACTAGAAGGAACAAGTCACAGATGCAGATTAAGATGCATTATGATGGAAAGAAATATGTACAAGAAACTGAAGTGCAAAATTGAGTTATAGTGTTGTAGGTTTGTAATAAAAAATTTTCATGCCAAGTGGTTTTCCTACCAGGGCCACTATGAGTAATCCCTTCTTTGGGCCATTTGTGTGGCAGCTCAAGTAAAGTGGTTCACACATCTTCAGCTGTGTCTTGTTCTTTCTCCAAGGTGTGTGAGTGATATGGAGCCTTCACACGGAAAACAGGTGTTCATTAGTGTTTCCATCACCATGCCTCCAAGAATGGAATGCTTCAAAGACTTTTTCTTCTTCTGAGATCTTAAACCGGAAAATCAGAGAGACTGACAGCAAATGCAACAGCATCCATGTGCTTTCTTGAAAACTTCTTTTTCTTACCAACAAAAGGTGGGGATCATAAATATGGAAGAAAGCCATACAGGCCAAAAGTAGAAGGGAAAAGTCTCTCTAGGGTAGTTGGTATGGAGTTTTGGGGACCACAGAAGCCTTTCAAATATAACCCTGTTTTGAATCTTCTCCCACATAAAATGCACACATCTTTATTTTTACATACAATTTCAAAGTTGCAAGATCTATTGGCTGTACCCCCCCAGATACTTAGTTTAAAAAAAATAAACAAGACAGCTAAAGACACTTGAGAGATTATTTGCAATGGATGACTCTTTGAAAAGTACATCTGTTTTGATATTTAATGTACTCCTGAATACTTTCAAGCATTAAAAACATACAGGATTTGTAAAATTCATTTGAAGACTCGGTAAATTTGAATATATGGGTTGTGGGGTCAGTGTTGTGGCATAGTGGGTAAGACTGCCCACTGCCTGCAACACTGGCATCCCAGTTTGTGTCCTCTGCTGCTCCACTTCCAATCAAGCTCACTGCTGATGTGCCTGGGAGAGCAGCAGAAGATGGCCCAAGTGCCTCGGCCCCTACACCCTGTGGGAGACTTGGAAAAAGCTCTGAGCTCCTGGCTTTGGCCTGGTCCATCCATTTGGAGAGTGAACCAGTGGATGGAAGATCTCTCTCTGTTTCTCCCTCTATCTGTGTAACTCTGCCTCTCAAAAAATAAATCTTTTAAAAAGATGAATATACGTTATTTATTTGGTCAGAAGTCATGACTACCGGTTCTGTTAAATAATCAGTTTGAGATACTTTTCCACCGAATTATAGAGCACCATACTAACCAAATTAAGTCTTGACTCCAGTTTTTGGCTAATGCAGACCCTAAGAAGCAGCAATGAAGGCTCAAGTGGTTGGGTTCCTGCCACCCAATGAGGGACCTGGATTGAGCTCCAGCCTTCCGACTTCTATGCAGTCCAACCACCACTACTGTGGGCATTTGGGGAGTGAACCAGCAGATGGGAGAGTTCTCTCTCTCAAATATAAATTAAAAATAAATGGAAATATCATTTAGATATGAAAACAAAGTACTTATACTTTCGTTATGAAAAACCAGAATATTAAAGACAGAAAACGCGACTCACCTGCGGTGTCAGAGCCTGAGGCTGGGACGGCGGTTCATCCCCATCAGGAAGCGGAATTAAGGCTCCAGGAGAATCACTGAAAAGCATGTCTTCAGTGGAATGCAAGGGCGCACTGTATTTGAGGAAATTAAACTCTGCCACACCTGTATGCACACGGCACATACTGGAGGAATAAGGTAACGTCCCCTCGCTATAGTTCGGGGGAACTCTTGACCCAGACTTAGAACAAAGAGCGGGCTGGAAGCAGCCCCAGGTGGCGGGGCTGGAGGAGTGTCGCAGGCGCAGGCCGATGGCCAGGATCACCGCCAGCAGGAAGAGCACAGAGATGGCCGCCAAGGCCACCACCAGGTAGAACTGCAGCTCGGCCTGCGCGTCAGACGGGCCGGGGTCGTCACTGAGGTCCGGCAGCGCCTCCTGCAGGCTGTCGGCGAAGACCAGGTGCAGCGTGGCGGTGGCCGAGAGCGGCGGCTGGCCACCGTCGCGCACCGCGACCAGCAGGCGCTGGCGCGCCGCGTCCCTGTCGCCCAAGGCGCGCGCCGTGCGCACCTCGCCCGTGCGCAGCCCCAGGCTGAAGAGCCCGGGCTCGCTGGCCTGCAGCACGTGGTAGGACAGCCAGGCGTTGTGCCCAGAGTCGGCGTCCACCGCCACCACCTTGGTGACCAGGTAGCCGGGCTCGGCGGCGCGCGGCACCGTGTCGAAGAGCGCCGAGCCGTCGGGCCCCAGCGCCGGGTACAGCACCCGCGGCGCGTTGTCGTTGCGGTCGCCCACCAGCACGCGCAGGCTCACGTTGGCGCGCAGCGCGGGCGAGCCCTGGTCGCGGGCCTGCAGCGTCAGCTCCAGGGCGCGCAGCTGCTCGTGGTCGAAGGCGCGCTGCGCGAACACCACGCCACTGTGCGCGCTCACCGACACGTAGGACGACAGCGCGCGCGGCTCCAGGTCGCTGGCCACGATGGAGTAGGACACCTGGCCGTTGGGGCCCACGTCGGGGTCGGAGGCGCTGACCTGCGCGATGGAGGCTCCCGGGGGGTTGTTCTCGGGCACGTGGATCACGTAGGCGGCCTGGTGGAAAACCGGAGCGTTGTCGTTGACGTCTCCGATGCGCAGGGTGACGGTGGAGCTGGAGGAGAGGGGCGGCTGACCCCCGTCGGTGGCGATGATGGTGACGTTGTACTCCGGGGTCTGCTCCCGGTCCAGGGTGCCATCTGTTACTAACTTGTAGAAGTTAGTCGAAGAAGAATAGATCTTGAAAGGCAGGTCTCCTTCTATATTACACGTGACTAACCCGTTTTTTCCGAAGTCCCGGTCCCGTGTTTTGAAGAGCGCCGCAACGGTTCCCGGAGGGGAATCCTCCAAAATCTGGTCCGAGAGGGAAGTGATGGTGATTTCCGGGCTGTTGTCGTTTTCGTCCAGGATTTCTACCACCACTTTACAGTGAGCAGAGAGACCGCCACCGTCCTTGGCTTCCACTTCCAGGGTGTACCTTTCTACCTCTTCAAAATCCAACGACCGGTTGTTCTTAATCTCACCGGTCCTCTCGTCCAGGGAGAACGTGTCCCTCGCGCTCTGCGCAGCGCTGCGTAAGTAGTATTTTATCTCTGCGTGGGGGCCTTCGTCCTGGTCAGTGGCTGCTACCCGCAACACGGAGGATCCTGGGGGAAGACTTTCTCTGACACTGATTCTGTATTCGTCCTTGCTGAACACAGGGGGGTTATCATTGGCGTCCCTGACCAAGATTTCTACACGGGCCGTGGCGCTCCGTGGCGGGTCCCCTCCGTCCCAGGCAGTCAATGTCAAGCGGTGAGATCTCTGCTCTTCCCGGTCCAGCAGTCTCTCCAGAGATAACTCCGGGTATTTGCCTCCGTCAGAATTGACTCTCACCATCAGTGAGAAATAAGGGTTCGGGCTGATCTGGTAATCTTTAATGGAGTTTGTGTTTATATCAGGGTCGGTGGCAGGATCAAGGGGCATCCGTGCACCAGCGGATACAGATTCAAGGATTTCTAAATGTATTTCCTGTTTATCGAATTGAGGCGCGTGGTCATTAATATCCTCAATCACGACAACGACAGGGAACACATTCAAAGGGTTTTCCACCACGGCTTCCAGCTGCAGCTCGCACTGCTTCCGCTCTTTGCAAATCTGCTCGCGATCTATTCGGTCCCTCACTAGCAGGCGCCCGGTGCGCGCGTCTACGTGGAAGTGCAGCCTCTCGGCGCTGACCCGCAGCTTCCGAGCAGACACATCCAGCACGCTGAGCTCCAGGTCCTTAGCCAGGTCGCCCACTACCGAGCCCGCGGCCAGCTCCTCGGGGATGGAGTAGCGGATCGGCTCGCAGAGCGCGGGGCAGAACAAAGGCAGCAGGAAGGCAAACGGTACCTGCGGGCGGCCGGCCCGGCGCCTGTGCGCGCAGCTCCCTCCCATGGCTCGCGCTACTGCTCGCTCGGTCCGCGTCCTTCCAGTGGCAAGAGGTGCATTCGGCCCGGGAAGGGCAGAGTCCCCGTCGTCCCCGGGGTGGGGATCCTTGTATGCCGGGCAGGGTGTGAGCCGCCGGGAGCTTCTGCGGGCGGAGTGTTTCCTTGTGTCTGCACTGGTGGCTGTGCAGGAAAACCCAGGCTGGAGGCTGAGGATCCCTGGCGTCAGCGCCTGCTCTGTACTGGCCGACAGCGGCGCCCAGAGGCTCCTTGTGGAACTGCACTCTGGCTTTTCCTTTTGAATTGTTTATCTAAAATGTATATATTGCTCTTCGAAAGGTGTACGAACCTCAAGTTTTAGTCTCACCATAGCACCACAGCGGATACTTACATATTCATTGTTTTAAAGAAATTTATTCTGGGTAAGTCAAAATGGATGCAACAGTAGAAATATGTGTTATACCCTTCACCCAGTTGCAATAGTGATCCAACCTTTGTTCACTAGACTGTACTCCTCCCATTACTTTTGAGCAGAACCAAGATATGGCATTTCAATTAACACTTCTTTTTGAGTTGAAGCATGAAGATCAAGAATTGTTATCTTTCAGCCTATTGTGTAATCTGTTACCAATGTACAGTAAGTCCTACCTAGTTTGAGAACACTAGGATTTGACTTTTCCATATTCGGTACAGTCACCCATCCAGTGAGGCCTGTGTTCTGGTTTTGAATGCAAGTGATATTTTTGTAGAATACTATTTACCCACCACTACATTTATCACTATACATGTTGGGTTCCCAAATGAACATATTTAGGCATATCAAGTATAAAGGCTACTCCCAAGGACAGGGATTTTAGGTTATTTTCTTCCTATTGCAGAGTTAGAAATAAGATTCCACAGGCCACTTTTCTTTTTTCCCTATTAGCTTAAGGAAAAAAGAATGTTTGAAATAATTTAAATGTCTTTATGTAACAACAGATTCCTAGATATGTTAGTCTGTACTGTCTTATAAGTAAGACAAAAGGAAATTTAGAAAAGTAATCACAAAGACAAACTCATTCTCCATTTCCTGAGAATGACCATAGTCATCAACTTATGTATAGATCCCATTATATAACAGAACTTTGAATCAACTTCAAAGCTTAGGATCAGATAATCTCATAGGATGTCATTTATTGCTGAAAACTTGACATTTTAAAAAAAGATTTGTATTTACTTATTTGAGAGGTAGAGTTACAGTGAGAAAGGTCTTTCATCTGCTAGTTACTCTCCAAATGGCCGCAATGTGTAGAGCTATGCCAATGCAAATCCAGAAGCAAGGAGCTTCTTCTGGGTCTCCCACCTGGGTGCAGGGGCCCAAGGACTTGGGCCATCCTCCACTGCTTTCCCAGGCCATGGCAGAGAGCTGGATCGGAAGAACAGCCAAGACTCGAATCAGTACTCATATTGGGTGCTGGTGCCAGAGGTAGAGGCTTAGCCCACCAGGCCATAGCACCAGCCCCCCTCTATTTGTTTTTAAAGATTTATTATTTATTTGAAAGGCAGAGAGAGAGAGAGAGAGAGAGAGAGAGAATGAATCTTCTATCCACTGATTTTCTCCCTAAATGGCTACAACAGCCAGAACTGGATCAGGACAAAACCAGGAGCCAAGAACTCTATCCTGGTCTCCTACTTGGATACCAGGGGTACAAGCAGTTGGGCCTTCAACCATTGCATCCCCAGGCACATGAGCAGAGAACTGGATCAGAAGTGGAACATCGAGACTTGGACCATGCAAACTGGCACTCCACAGGGGATACTGGCATTGCCAGGGTCAGCTTAACCCATGTGCCACAGTGCATGCCTCAACATTATGTTTAAAATCATGCTAAATAATGCATTGTTTTTAAGTAAAATAATCTTAGAATATCCCTAGCAGTTCCTAGGAAATACTTTCCTAAATTATATCCTTATCCAGATTTGTTTCTAGGTTCAAATATTAGTCAAATAATGCACAGCTGAATAATTTTTAATTACTTTGTCCTTTCCTAGTGTTCAGCCTTAGAAACCTCCCTTGAGCGAGCATATACTATAGGCATTCAGAGGGTTAAACTATTTCCCATGACATCACAGCATGAGAAAATGAAAACGTTTGAGGATACAAGAATAAAGGATGCTACAATTGTCACCATTAAGAGAATGAAAAGTG